CTGCCAGTTAATAACTGAAATTTGATTTGTGTTTTAAGCAAATTTATTTGTGAGGAAACCTTATCTCTCTAACCATCTTTCTCTTTGTGTAAATGTAATATCATCTTTATTCCTTCCATAGTATGATGCGTCAATTTTTGAGCGATGGGTTCTAGCTTCTGGATTATTTTTTGAATACATGAATATTTACTCTCAGAGAAGTCGATAAAAGTTAGATAACAAACTTTTCGTCGTATACGGGGTATCTCAAAAGGTTGCTTCCAAAAATAACATGCTGGTTTGTTATACTTGCCAATGCCAAACTTAACATGCTGGTTTGTCATGCCATAAAAAATAAGATTTACATAGGAACTTGGGTCCGAAAATGAGAACAGCGACCGCTAGAGGGTAAGTTCGCAGTCTTATGGAAAGGTGGGAAGTGTAATTATTTCAGACGAAGACTTGCAGGAGAAAGAGGAATCGGTTTACTAACTCAATTCTTTATGTCATTTTGTATGATATTTTGTGGAAAAAGTGTTGCGGAATCTCATGGTTGACGTTACAGCAGCTATACGTCGAAATATCTGGTTTCAGCATGATGGAACGCCTGCACATTTTTGCAGCACTGTACAGGAATACCTCGATAGGACATCCTGATCGCTGGATTGGCTGAGGAGGACCAGTCGCATGGCCAGCGCGATCTTCCGACCTCATTGCCCTAGATTTCTACCTGTGGGGATGCGTGAAGTCTATTGCACACGAGATGACTGAAACATCGCACATGGATCTCGTCGCCAGAATCCTGGAAGCGGCGGCACGTGTCTGTGACACACCTGTCCATTTTGAACGGGTCGGTAAATCCATGCATCGACTTTGTGGAACATGCATTTTGGCGAAAGGAAAAAATTTAGAATATTTTCTACGATTGAATTTTCTCAACTGTTTCTTTATTATCGGTTTTACTTTTGTTTCTTTCAAATAATTTCTCGTATTTCTTTTCATGCGTTATATATTTTTTTTCTTCGCAATTGGAGGTTTACCTGTCTTAGCTGGTGTTATCCAGTTCTCTTTATTATTATTTGGGGTCGTTCCTATATCAGAGACTTTTACTTTCTAGCTCCTTATATTTCTTTTTAGTGTTCATTTCAGTTTACATTTGAGTGTATTCCAAACAGAGAGGGGCGACCGGTTCATTGTCTGCTTCGTCTCTAAGTTTAAAGGTTTCATCTAATTTTCGATTGATTATTTCATAATCAATCCTTTAAAATCAATCCTCCTTAATTTAATAAATTTCGATTGATCATTCCTTTAAAGATAAACATGGTTTTATGATTTGGGGGGTGAAAATATTTTCCTCGACTGGAGGGTTCTTTCTATTAAATTCCTGTTGTCCTGAAATTAAATTCGGAAAAATCCTTAAATTTTTCATACTTAGTCCTGAGGTTTCGGAAGCGAAGACTCGGGGAAGTTATTCTTAACTTTTTCGGAATTCTTAGTGCTGCTATTGGTAGAATCGGCAAAATTTATGGATATTTACTGAAGTGGTGAAATAGTCAGATGCTGAATCCATATCATCACTGTCGTATCGATGATGCCAAAACGTATCTGGAGGTACCCTGCTGGCCGCCATAAGAAGAAGAAGCAAAAATAATACTTACAAACGCAGAGAATAAAACAATGTTAATAACCTACCATGCTGTTAGGTGGCCCAGGCCACGAGGTATGGGTTCCTTGGCCAAAGACCTATTCCAGATTAATAAATATAGCTACTACAACATATTGGCATGCCCTGCCCCGCGTGACCTTAAGTGGTCCGTAGTACATGTCTCCCCAATCCTGAGAACCAGGTGTAGAGGTTCAACCTCAGCTCTGGCCCATTGGAGAGAGAGAGGCGCACTGCCCAAACCAATTTCCCAAACAGCACTGGTCGTTAATTTGCTACCTACCAGTTGCTCGGGCTGCTCGTCGCAGCGGGACATTATCCAGCGTACCCCGAGGATGCTACCCTCCGGGCTACTAGAACCACGCCATGCTAGGACGTGCCAGACCTCCGGGCCGGCTAATAAGTTACCTTCCCGGGGCCTCCAGGACCAAGGAGAACCGAACCGAGCAATGATAGCCGAATTATCGATATTACCGGCTCAGCCCCAATATGCCCATTGTGCTCCTGGCTTTAAAAGTCTCCATAGTGGAATTGTGCAGAACTAAGGTGGGAAGGTAGAGGGTATGACCAAGAAGTCACATGGCCCAAATGAGAGGAGAAAACTTAAGAGGCGGAACCTATGAACAGTAAAGCGCCGTTCCCACTGGGGTTTATCTGAGCTAACGGAGTCGGTTCCATGTGTCGACTAGCTCCTCTGTACCTGCAGTTCAGATTTTTCAACTTGCTGCCCTATGGGGAAAAACTGTTTGTGGGGATGGGTCTACTACGTTAGTTGTGTTCGTTAGCTCAGATGAACCCCAGTGGGAACGACCCTTAAGGTGTTGCATGCCTTTGTTTTCCGCAATTTGTAGTTTGTCTACGTCTTTATTCCTCATAGTGGCCCATTCAGGCGAGGCGTACGAGAAGATTAGTCTAATAACTGCAATATAATCTAAGATCTAGTTTGGATTCGTACCTAAGCAGAGGGGTGAGACTTTGAATTGCCCCGATGGTCTTTCCACGAAAATGCGTAATATGGTCTTTCCAACTGAACTTCGCGTTGAGGACAATGCCTAAATATTTCGCCTTGTTAACGAGGGAGTTTCCGTGTTGAAGAGGAGATTTTCAGTGACTGCAGCCTGCGAGTGCTTCTTTCTGATAATGAGTAACTGAGACTTATCCGCCATTTTTGACACCAGAGCTCAAGTTGTGGCATAATGCTTTGCAGCTTGCGAATTGCGAAGTTGGGATTAGCCGACTTTACTGCCAACGCAGTGTCGTCGGCATAGCACCCGACAAAGTAATTATAGTCAAGATTCACCCTTGGAAGATCCTCTACATAAAACAAGTAGAGAACAGGACCTAAACTGCTGACCTGTGGGACACCGGACATAATTCTTTTAAATTCTGAGCAGTTGTTGCCTATGGAGGCGCAGAAGTTTCGTCCGTGTAAAAAGGAGTGAATAATTCTGATGAGTGTAGGTGAGAAGCCGTTGTTAATGAGCTTGAAGATAACCCCCTCATGCCAGTAGCGGTCGAAGGCTTTCGCCACGTCCAGCATGAGTAAGGCGACATTCTGATGATTATGCAAGAATCTTCCGATGTACTCAGAGAGCCTAACTAGCTACTTGGTTGTAGAGAGGGAACGAATATTGTGTATAAATATTGTAGTATATTTAGCATCCTGTATAAATAAGGCAATATATAATAATGTAATATATATCTTTGCAATCTGCAAGTACCAAATAATGTAACTCTGCATGCACACCTATGCACCCCTGAATTTAGTATAACCGTGTAACTGTGCATGCATTAGCATTCCGTATGAATGATGAAATGTATTATTTAGCATTCAGTAAGTATTAAATAATGTAACTTCGCACGATAGTATAAACTGCGTTACTGTACACGCATAACTGTATTGAACAACTGAAAATGCATATCTGCGTACCTTTGCAAAATATACGAATAATATAGTGTATAATATAGCACTCAGTACGAATAAGCATTCTGCATGAATAGTGTAATGTATTCAGCATACTTTATGAATAATGTACTGTATAATTAAGCAGAATGTTAAGTACCATGTAATGTTACTCCGCACGTATAACTGTACCTTTCAATATTATATAACTGTATAACTGCGAATGCATAACGGTGCATGCATAACTATATTATGCCCTGCGCATGCGTAACTGTGAACAATGTATGAATACTGTAATACAATTTAACTTCCTGTACAAATAAGCATCAACATCAATGTAAATATCTACTGCCCATGTATGAATAACGCATTGCGTTTATTTCGGCATGTTAAACGTAATGTGCCTAGGTGCATTCATGTTAAACATAGTGCGTTTTGATTCTCCCGCGCTCTCATGTATTTTTCGTTTTCTTATATAAGTAGTTTTATGTGTTTAATGTAATGTGTGTGTTTAACGTAATGTTTATGCTGTTTAATGTCGTATTGTGTGTACTTTGTATCGTGTACTGTTATGTTTTGTATATTTTGCGTTGAACTGTGTTTACTCAATGTATATTTATTTGTCATGTATTTCAAATGTGTAGGCTTAAGCTGCATGTATGACTTACCATTAACATGCCAAATCTTATGTCTACCAAGTATCTATTATACACTTAAGACGCCCCTGTTTGGCCACGGGAACAAACTCATCTTAATATCTCAATAAACTCCCGGAACGGGCCTCTTGAGGCTCCAGGAAGTTGTTGCTTCTAGTTAGGGGAGGGCGTGGGACACATGCCTGTTTACCTCTGTTAAACATCAGGCGTCCCCATCCTCCGTCACCTGTCACCTGTAGAGAGGGAACGACGGAAGACGAACTGTTCTACCGGAAGTTTCTCCAGATAAGGGTCCATGCGTTTCAAAATAATGCGTTCTAAAATTTTACCGAGTCCAGAAAGGAGGCTAATAAGGCGAAAGCCCTCTGGCTTTGTAGCTTCTTTACCTGCCTTCGGTAGTACAGTTATCTTAGCACTTTTCCAAGATGTAGAGAAATAAGTATTTGTAAGGCAAGCATTCAGAATACCGATGTATTTTCCAAGATGTAGGGAAATAAGTATTTGTAAGGCAAGCATTCAGAATACCGATGTATTTAGCGATAATGCCAGGCGGCAAAAATTTTATTGCGATGTTAGTAACGCTGTCATAGCCGGGAGCATAGTATATTTTTAAGTCGCTTAATGACATCTTGAATTTCATTTGGATCCGTAATTTGTATGTCGTTCTCAGAACTATGCGCCGTAATCCATTCTTTAACGCTATATCTCACATCGTAAGCAAATTCTACAAGGGCTGTAAATTAAGTAATGGCAACATAGGTATAAATCAATTCTTAATGAACTTACAAGTACAACTGCATTACATTACTTCTATGTAATCACCAGCAAAGTTCATAACCTTTTCCCAAATGTCGAGAAGCTGTTGTAGACCAGTGGCAAGGTGTTGATTGTTGATGTGAGCGACCGAGCGCTCTACTGCGTGGAGTACAGATGAAACGTCATGAAATCGGTGACCTCGGAGGGGTTTCTTCAACTTCGGAAACAGATCGAATTCACAAGGACTCATGTCGGGCGAGTAGGGAGGGTGTTCCAGGATTCCCCACTGCCACCGTCGCAAAAGGAGAGGGACATCGTTTGCGACATGGCAACGAGCGTTGTCATGCAATACGATAGGGAGATTGTTGTGCAATAAACGTGGACTTTTGCGCCGCATAGCCGGACGTAGATGGTGCTGTAGAAATCGGCAATAGTAATCTGCTTTGACAGTTTGTCCTTCAGGTACAGCATGTGTAAGAATCACACCATCCCAGTTGTATGCCATAATCAGCATAACCTTCACCCGACTGGGTTCCTGTCGAAATTTATGTGGACGTGGTGAACCTTGGTGACACCATTCATTTGATTGACGCTTTAATTCAGGCTCATAGGCTCGTGCCAATGTCTCATCAATGGCGACAATACGCTGCAGAAATGAGTCTCCTTCATTGCGGTATCTCTCCAAGTGGGTGCCAGCCAGTGGCATACGGTGCCATTTCTGTATTCGGTTAGTCGATGTGGAACCCAGCGGGAAGCAATTTTCCTCATGTTGAGAGATTTCTTCATTAGGCCACCCGTTTGATGACTCAGGCAACCTCTAAGGTACTTTTCGGACATTCCCTCGGCGGTCTATGTAGGAGACCGCTCAGGAGTCAATCTGCTCTTGAGGAATGGAGAGCGACCTGTGCGTTGCAAATCCGCAGTCTCATTCTGACCGGAACGAATGCTGAACCCATCGTGCTACTGTCCTATACGGTAAAGCATTTGTGCTAAGGCTCCCACTAATCCTCGATAGCATTCTGTTGCATTTTGCCACGGCAACCTCGATTTTAAGCCCACCACTGATCATCTTTTGAAAACATGCTTTAGAGCTATGGAAACGAAACTTCTCACTTTAACGCCACACAACAACTACCCTTCTAAGCAGATCGAACGTTTTTTGCACTCTACAAATGAAATAACTTAATAAAAATCTAAAATGCTAAACAAATAGAAATGAAAATAAATAGCAAATAGATTTGCATTATACATGTCAAAAGCGACAGCTCATTAAGGGATGGTGGATTTAGATGGTTGTTCACCTCAGTGCATCTCCAAGTTTAAAAAAAATAAATAAAAACTTATTTAAAAATTCTATTCTGACTTATTTTTAATACTTTCCTGATCAGAAAATTTCTACGCATAATGGGAAAATGTATTCGTCCTATTTTGAATAAAAAAGGCAACAGTGGAAAAAAATCTCGTCATATTTCATATTTATGAATCTCAAAGTAATTGCCTTGAATTCAGCTGAATTACAGAAATATACGTACATAAATTTTTGGATACATCTTACAACATGTCCAATTGTGTAAATATTTTACTTACTTTTATCGCTATACTACCCAGAAATTTGTAAGTGTATGCAAAAAAATTTTAACAACAGAACAGTTTATCTTGATCAAATGCACAAATTATATTCGTAACAGTTCACAAAACTTAAAAATGAATAATAATTAATGAAATAAAATTAAAGAAAGGCATTGCTTTATTTAACACCTTTACAGTTCATAAGAATAGTAACAACTGATTTCTTACTTTTCATGTAAATTATAAAACGAATTACCTAAAACTTCAAATTATACAGTTTAAATCCAGCCTATCATGTATGTAAGGAACGAAGATACCAGCTATAAACAGAAACATTAAAATGTATTTAACATATTTTGATTATTATTAAGTCCTTTTTTTCACATCTGGAAAGAAAACAACATGGTATTGTGATATTTTTTAACATAGTTATCAAATTACATAAAAAAAGAAAATACTTACGCATGAAAAGTAATCCCAGGAATCTTTATCGAAAATCTATTTGTGCTTCCAATCTGAAATGCAAGCTGGCATGCTTCAAAAAGAACAGAAAAAAATGTTGCAATTCTTTGCGCACGTCATAGCGATAATAGTAACATGGCCGCCAAGCTTCACAGTTTGAGTTGAACCTTCTCTCAACCTTGATATTTTAAACCAAGGAGAGTTAGAATAGAAATTCTAACTCTCCTTGGTTTAAAATATCGTGGTAAAAATAAAGCTCCTACAAATCAATTCATGGCATCGCAGACATGCATTTTACAGGCTTTAAAGGTTGTAAATGCATATTCGCATAATGATTTGTGAGCGCAAGAAGGAAAAGGCACTATAGTTATTTTTATAATTCATAATTTTGAACTAACTAATGCATTTTTGCTGAAAACGTCAGAACGAAACATAAGCATTTAAGAACTGAAAGTGATTAGAAAATTAATGCAACTTATACACTTAAAATAGAAGTTTTAAACTTACATAAGTAACTAATAAAGGTCTATAAATTGCATTAATTTCCCACTCATTTTCAGTTTTTAAATGTTTAGGTTTCCTTCTCACTTTTTCAGCAAAAATGCATGAGTTAATTCAAAATTATGAATTATAAAAATAACTATAGTGCTTTTTCCTTTTTGCGCTCACAAATCATTATGCGAATATGCATTTACAATTTTTAAAGCGTGAAAAACACATGTTTGCAATGTTATCGCCATGCGATGATTTGTAGGAGCTTTATTTTTTACCACGATATTTTCGACGACAATGTTTTTAAACTGCGACGTTATTGAACCGCATTGTTTTCGACGACGAGATTTTGTACCACGGTGCTTTAGAGCTGCAATGTTTTGTCTTTGCTTTCTTTTCTCTCACGATGTTTTGCACCCCGACATTTTAGCCTTCCGATGTATTTTCCTCTACTGTTTCGTCCGCTGTGTTTTTGCCGCGATGTTTTTGGCAGACCCGAGATGAGTAATATCCGTCGGGAGAAAAAGTGGAATCAACAAATGAAATACTGAGTAGTGGATCACGTGGGAGCCAGAGTCGGGAAAGCTAGTGATTAGCTGAAGGGAAGGTTAGAACAAAAGCAAAGAAACCTCACCGGCTTTGTTCTTAAAAGAAGACATATAAAGAGAGCAGACGAAGCAGCAATATAAGCAATAAAAATGAGCAGTAAAATACAAGTAATAAAAATAATTAAATACAATCAGGCCAGCAATAAGTAACATAAGTTTATAATTACAGCTCATGGTCGTCTGCGACTATCTACGTTAAGTTGGTCATAATTCAATACAGGTATAGAAACTTTCTGAACAAGCACAATATTGTGGAAAAAGTTTTTGCAATTTTCACCATGAACTGAGCAAATAGGTTTCACACCGAATTCTTCGTGAATTTTGGTATTTCTGTAGAGATCTGCCTCAGAGTCACCATTTGATTAACTTGAAGCTTATTTAAAGCAGCTTTACGAACAAATACCAGAAGGGACAAGCGTAAATAACAGAGGACCTCAACATGTCTTACTTATAGATGAGTAACTTGTTATCTAAGGAAAGAACAAAGTTCCAGGGAATTAGAAGGTAGAGAGTAGCTTTACACTTCCGGAACTTTGAGATTTTGTGTGTAATATGGGAGACTTCCATATTAATCGTTGGTCTAAAATAACCCCATGATATATCAGTATAACAGTATTATACATACTGATGCTGAAGATGATGGTCCTGCGATGTATGAGTATCACAGGCATAGTTTTTGTCCACATTAATTTTGATTTTCCATTTTTTAAGCCAGGACTCTAATGCATGTACGTGGTTGTATAGTGTATGAACCAGAATCATAAATTTCAATAATAGTACCTACTATAGAAAGGGTATTTACTAATAAATCAAGTTTTCCCAGTGGGCTCTCGAGATGATTGTTAAGTTAATGAGCACCGCCTCCACGAGGGCGAGGAAGGAGAAAAAAACAAAGTCTAGAAGTAGATGGTGTAGGGCTTCTGAGCTTTAATTCTTTAAAGTTCATGCATAAAATGCAGTAAATCAGGTAATCTGGACACTCACAATTCCTGCTGTCGTATCTCCAACTTCTTAATCCTCAGATTCATAAAGTTTCATGAGTGTCATTACCGCATTAAATCCGACGAGTAACTTTTCTGCAGTTGTCTTAGCTTTTGACCTGCGAAATGATGGTTTTCAGGAAGCTGTTGACTTGTCTGTCTCTTAACCAATCCAGAGCTTACTTTGCACTTCTGGTGGAGGCTTGAATTTCCTCTTCAACTTATCACTGTAGAGGAATGTTTCTGCCTTTTTCTGCTTTTCTCCTTTGTGAATATTGGAAAATCAGCATATGTTGGCTGTGGGATTACCTTCTTGGGAGGGGTATATTTCCTTTCAAATTTTCTGCGGTATTCCTTACATCCACGATAACTGGATACATGCTTTTCTTGACAGAAGATACAGGTGGGGGTTTCGTCAGGTTTTAGTTCGTACTTATTGCCTCTGTGGTTTTTTCCGCATTTACAACAGCGTTCCGCATTGTTGCATAAATGCTGTAAGTGACCCCACTCCTGGCAACAAAAGCACTGAGTGGGGCGTTTCTTCGTCGCAAAATTTTCAATACGAACGTTCACGCTGAGCATATTATTCAAATTATGGATAGCGTGACCAGCTTTGTTTTCTCAATTCCAGCAACTACATTCCGAGTATTTCCTAATTGTTCTTTTTACTTCTCTGGAATTGCTTTACTTTCTCAATAGGGAATTTACTTCTTTAAAGGTCTTGAAAGGTTGCTTCTTCCGTGACATGGCTTGAGAGATTTTTGAGCCCTACCCGGATGGGTTTCTCACAGTTCATTTGAAAGCTGTGGAAGGGGTACTTCTCTTCTGTAAAACAGACGTGGTGTCGGTAGTCCGTAAGATTTTTAACTTTAATAATAACAAATATAAATTTGCTTTTTGTATCTGTTTTAAATTCATCCGAACATGTAGTATACAAATTTCCTGGATTTTCAGCCAGTCAATAGCTGCGCTTTGGAATACAATAGGTGAGGCGCTTCCATCTGTACTGCTCCTCCCTCTCACTCCTCCTCGCTTAAATGCTAATTGCTTATGCTGATATTAAACAGCAAATCCGATTGGATAACTCCGACTCGGCCACACCCCCTGCTCCTCGATCAGCATTTCTTCTCACCGGCTCCAGTCAGCGTTCGAGCATACATACATGAGGCACCGTCTTCTCTCGTATTCATCATATCTTTCCCATAGAGGGAAAAAATTAGGTTTTTTACTCTGCTTAGTACTTTCTACTTTGAATGTTTGGGAAGTATTGCCACGGCAATAGATATCCAGAACAACACAGCAGTATCGCCTATGCTTATATTAGCTTAATAAGCTTATTGACAATCCTAAGGACATCATAGTGTCAACTATCAGCTAGTTCCCAGCCGGGAATCGGAGCAGGTAAGGGAAAAGCAGTGACCTTGTCCAGTGACAATAGTCCAATCATCAAAGTAACTTACTCTCACCCCTGAGACAAGAGTATAATCACGTGTATGAGCTGTAAAATATGCAAAGAAAAGAAAATACACGAAATGGCATAGGATCAGTGTTAACATGTAATAAACAATAAAGTGAATCACTACGCATGAAATGTG